TGACTTTCCTAATGTCTTGAGTTTAGTTTTAGAATTTCCTTTAGTGAGAACTAAGTGGTTGTAATGTTTCTCATTTTTTATTTCAAAAAATACAATTTTTCTCTGGATATAAATTTCTAGATTGATAGCTGTCAGTCTAGTTCTTACCCCTTTGAACAATGTTTCCATTCTCTGGCTACTTTTTAAGATTTCCTACTAGTTTTTATAAAACTATAATGTGTCTTGATATACATTTGTTTTTATTTCTTCTTTTTGGGAGTCATTGAATTTCTGAAATATGTCAGTAGTTGTCTTTCACCAGTTTGGGGAAAATATGTTTTGTCTCTAAATATTTCCTTTGTCTGTTGTTTCTTTATGTTTCATCTGGGATTCTGGTTAAAAATATTTAGTTCTTTTCTGTGATCCTTAATGTGTTTTAATTTCCCTTTCCTATTTCTGTTTTTTTTTTTCCTTCTGTGATGTAATCTGGATATTGTCATCTGACCTACCTTTCAGTTTACTGTCTCCTTTCAGCTAAATCTAATATGTTAGTAAACCTTGAGTTTTCAATGTGAAGTATTGTGCTTTTGAAATGCTACAAATTCGGCCAGCGCCGTGGCTCACTAGGCTAATCTTCCACCTGTGGCGCTGGCATCCCGGGTTCTAGTCCCAGTTGGGGCGCCGCTGGATTCTGTCCTGGTTGCTCCCTGCACACGCATGGGAGACTGGGAGGAAGCACCTGGCTCCTGGCTTCGGATCGGCACAGCACACCGGCCCATAGCGGCCATTTGGGGGGGTGAACCAACAGAAGGAAGACCTTTCTCTCTCTCTCTCTCTCTCTCTCTCTCGCACTGTCTAACTCTGCCTGTCCAAAAAAAAAAAAAAAAAAAATGCTGTAAGTTCCACTTTATCTTTTAAAAACTGGTTTTTTTTTTTTTTCAAATCTTGTAAACATAGTCATTTTATTATCTATGTCTGACAACTGCATTATCTAAAGTCTTTGTGGTATATTTCTTCTGTCTTTTTCTTCTGGGGTTTTGTTTCCTTGTATGCCTGAACATTCCAAAGTCCTTGAAAGGGGCAGGTGTCGTGGCACGATGTAGGTTCAAGTGCCACTTGGTATGCTTACATCTCCTATCAGAGAGCTGGTTCAAATCTCTTTTCCTCCGCTTCTGATCCAGCTTCCTGATAATATAGCTGGAGAGGCAATAGATGATGATGGAAGAGCTTGGGTTCCTGCCACCTTTGGGAGAGATTTGGAAAGAATTCCTGGCTCCTGGCTTCAGTCTAGACCAGCCTCAGTTGTTGCAAGCATGTAGGGAAGGAACTAGCAAATAGAAGCATCTCTCTCACTTTGTCTCGCTCACTCTTGCTCTGCCTCTCTGCCTCTTGATCTACCTCTTACTCTCACTTTCTCTCCACCTCTCTATGTCACTGTCTTTTTATTATTATTATTATTTGACAGGTAGAATTATAGACAATGAGAGAGAGACAGAGAGAAAGGTCTTCCTTCTGTTGGTTCACTCCCCAAAAGGCTGCAAATGACAGAGCTGCACTGATCCAAAGCCAGGAGCCAGGTGCTTCTTCCTGGTCTCCCATGTGGGTGCAGGGGCCCAAGCACTTGGGCCATCTTCTACTCCTTTCCCAGGCCACAGCAGAGAGCTGGACTGGAAGAGGAGCAACCTAGACTAGAACCGGTGCCCGTAAGGGATGCTGGCACCGCAGGCGGAAGATTAACCTAGTGTGCCGCGGTGCCGGCCCCTATGTCACTGTCTTTCAAATAAATAAATCTTTTAAAAAAATGTTCTTGAAAAACATGTATGGTGAGAATGAGGTCTGAGGGGAAGGTGTCTTCATCTGCTTCTTCCAGGTGGATTTTTGGCTCACTCTTACTCTGACAGTGATGGATGGCCTCTTGAGTCAGGGACTGTAGGGAAGTGTTCCCTGTCAGATTCCCTGGTCAGGGCAGGCTTGCACCAAACTTCTTCCTTCTCACTCTGTAAGGCCATCAGAAGTGAAGTCCAAGTTTACAGAACCAGGCTTTCCCTACAACCCTCTTTCAAGTCACAACTACCCCTGCATAAGGAATCCTGGGAGCGTATCTGGCCCATCAGCCTACACTGGGGTCTCACCAGTCTCTAGCTCTAGCACACAGCCGGAGCTGTTTGCCCTGAGGTCTTCTAAATCCTTCTGGGCAGATCAAAGGAATGATAGGACGTGGTCCCCGACCCTTTTCCCATGGAACCTCACTTCCTTTTGTCTGCCCTCACCCCAGATACTTTGTCCCACCAATCCAGATAATCTGTATCAAATTGGGCAAGAGGCCTGGCTCTAAATCCATTCATTCCATGCGTACCAAACCTCTCCAGAGTGGGAGCTTCTGAAACAAAACGTTTTTTGTATCTCTGAGGAAACGCCATGCCCTGGAAGTCCTGGGCACTTTTCATTCCACCTGTGGGCACTGAGCGTGGTAAACTTTACCAGGAAAATGCAGCAAGGAGAATGCTTCCCTCCATTTTCATTTTACGTTGTTGTCCTCACCCCTTCTTCCCTTGGCTTCTTGGGAAGGAAGGAAAGTCATAAGGAGCAGAGCCCAGGGACCACAGTTCAGAGAGGGGCACTGGGTTCTGTGTAGCAGTTTTGTCCTCTCCCCTCTCATGTCTGTCTTCCCCTCAGTGTGGGCTGTCAGCACACCCCCAAGGAGGCTGCCCTGAAGGGAGTGCTGCTCGAGGTCCTTACCGTAGTTGAAGCACCATGAGTGGACTCCTGCCCCGGGATCTCCCTGAGTGGTTTTTGGGTCCTTCGCCTGTTGCAGCAGCTACATGGCTACTCTTCAACCTCCTAGGGCCGGGCCTCCCTGGATAGTCTCCTGATGGCCTTTTTTAGTCTCTAAAATGTGTATCTTTGCCTTTGCCTGCCATCCGGTCTTAAGACTCTACTTCTTCAACCAAGACAGCCACCGTCCCATGGCTCCTGCTTCAAGGTTCACATGTCCCCTTGAGTGCTCCATGAAGACTTCCAGTTCACTGTGTCCCGAGCTGGTCATTCTGCACCAGAGCCTTGCCTCTCACAGCATTTCTCAGCCAAGTTACTGGCACCAACACCCACCCACCCAGGTGCCCACACCATGTGGCTTTCCTCCCCTTCCGTCTGCCTCTAAGCTGCTACCTTTGGCCTTTGGATGGAAACTCCTCTTGGCTCTGTGCCCTTCCCCTGTCACCGTGGTTTCTCACTGGAATCTACCCCTCCACCCAGCAGCCAGATGCAATCTCCCTTAAATCCATCACCTGTCATCTCCCTCTCCTGCTTCTCTAAGCCCTCTGGAGTGTCTCCATTTCCTGGTCTGAAGGTCTGGCTCCTTGGTTTTCCGGCCCAAACCCCCCTCCCTCCCTGTGCCCTGCACCCTGTGTTCACCCAGCCTGGACCTCTCAGGCCCCTGTGTCTCCCTCCCAGGCCTTTACACAGTTGTTTTTTCAGCTCTGGAATGCTGGTGCTCCCTCCTGTCCTGCAGCCCCTGATCCACATCAGCTCCAGCTCAGACATCTCCCCTTCCTGGAATCCCCATGGATGGACCAGACACCTGTTGTGGGCTACACAGCTTATGTACTTCCAGGATGGGCAGTGGACTTTCTCCTTCTCTCTTAATTATTGTTTGATCCTCTTTCTCCCTACTGTGTAAAGACTGTATCCTCTTTCCTCTTATGATCTCAGCATCTTGTCAATGTCTTCATGAAAGCAGTCCTATTGTAAATGCCTGTTGATTGAAGGAATGGTTGAAAACATCCCTCTCTCCATCTTTCCTTAATTCCTTGTTCATTCACATCCTGAGCCCATTTCACCATGGAAGGCTCAAGTATTTTGCCTATAAGATTTTTCATATATTAAGGGGTGAAATATTTTATTATATTTGTGGGAGGTATTTCCTTCAGCCTGTTCCTTACCTGTTAATGTAATTCATGGTGATTTTCATGAATAGAAGTTTTCATTTGAATACTAGCAACTCTACTGTTCTTTTGGGATTTTTTCTGGCTAATTTTTGGGGGGTATTGAGGAAGAGGGGCTATGAAGAAAGCGTCTGGGCTGCGAGAAATATTGCAGATTCAGACGTGACTGTTGTGTCCACGAGTGTAGACATATGTAAAGATTCACTGAGCTGCTGGTGCTGCTGCTCAATAGGCTAATCCTCCGCCTGTGGCGCTGGCACACCAGGTTCTTGTCCTGGTCGGGGCACCGGATTCTGTCCCGGTTGCTCCTCTTCCAGTCCAGCTCTCTGCTGTGGCCTGGGAAGGCAGTGGAGGATGGCCCAAATGCTTGGGCCCTGTACCCGCATGGGAGACCAGGAGAGGCACCTGGCTCCTGGCTTTGGACCAGCATGGTGCGCCGGCCACAGTGGCCTTTGGAGGGTGAACCAATGGCAAAGGAAGACCTTTCTCTCTCTTTCTCTCTCACTGTCCACTCTGCCTGTCAAAAAAAAAATAATAATAATAAAAATTCACTGAGCTACACACATAATATCTGTGTAGTAATACATACAAGGTAAACTTCAGTAAAGAAGTTTTCAAAAATCCATTTAGCTTTTTATCTGTGACTTCCTTCATCAGTTTGAAAAAACAGTTGTCTGTTCATACAAGGATACTTCAAAATGTTAATGAAATCTACCTCTACAGTGATTCAGACGTTGGCCAAAGAATTACAGCCAGGAATGATGTTCAGGGAGGAGGGAAAGGCCAACCTAGTGGCCACTTTTTCAGCTAAAACTTCTTCCCACCCTGCTGCACTGAATGAGGCTGGAGAGAAAGCTTGGGTGTAGACGATAGGAGGCTTAAATGCTGAGCCAGCCTTTCATGTTTTGATACCTGCTCTGAGTACAACCCTGCGGTGAGTGCTGATTTTATAGAGATGACCAAATTTTAGGGCCCTCTGCCCTTGAGGTGCTCACCAAAAAGTAAACAGACAATGATGGCTTATTTGTTCCTCTGATATTTACTGATTACCCACTAATTGCCATTAACTTTTCTAAGGGCTTAGGATACACAGGTGAACAAAACAGCTGGAGATCTCTGCCCTGGTGAGGCTCGGCAGGGGGGAAGAGCCAACGTGGTATGACATCAAGTGATTGACGCTTTGGAAAGGTACAGTAGGTGAAGGGGAGGCAGGAATGCTTAGGGGAGGAGGGAGCAATAATGTTGAGTAAAGCCCTTTGTGGCAGCCTTATGGAGAGCCACAGTGTTCAGGGCTGTGGGCGCACAGAGCTGACTCCTGATGGATCAGTTAACACAACTAAGTGAAGATGGCCAGGGAAGTCCAAGGAAGCCACATGTGTGATGCTTGAAGTGAAATTGGCTCTGTGGAGAGCCACATATGGCCACTGTGGCTAGTGAGCAGTAACTGTGAGTAGGAGATGCCTATCCTGGGGCCGAGTTACGTAAAGATCACAAGCAGGGATGGTAACCCACAGGTGACCCCCTGGACCCAAACACCCCATCTGGTGGATCTTCAGGAGGCTCCAGAGCCCAGGAAGTGCTCGTCATGCCTGTGCTGAGTTCACATCTGCCCCTTAAGTACCCTGGCCCTCCAGGGCCTGAGCTGTTCCCAACAGGCTGTTCAGTAGACCCGCCACTGAGTATGCCCCAACTCTGAAAGTGCCTGCCTTAGGAAAGGCTCAGTGAGGAGGGGCAGGGTAGCTGATGTCCCAGGCCTGCTCTGTCCTTAAAGTGTCCTGGCCAACTCTCAGCCATAGTCAGCCTGGTGGGGGCGGTTGCGGGGACTGTGTCTGGGGTTTCTCCTCTCAGAAAAAGGCAGGAAGCTGTGGCCAAGGCTTGGAGGAGAAAGGAAGTGTACGTCAGGAAACAGGTGCGGCAGCGTCTCACCAGCCCAGGTCTGAATGGTCTCCATACCACAGAATCACCAGTCTGACTGGGGGCCTGTTACGGAAGCTGTGCTCCCTCTCTCCTAGATGGCATCACCTGCCCCCGAGTGGTCAGGGTGGTTACTACGGCACCAGGAACTTAGCCCTGGCAGATGTGGAATCTGTGACCAAGGCCTCAGGATGACTTGAGACCTCCCCACACACACCTGACACCAGGCCTCGGTGAGTTAGGGCTTCCTGTGGCTGCCACCGCAGATGTTTCTCAGGCCCCTTTACGCTGACGCTTTTTCCATACAACAGCTGGGAACTGATGTAAATCATTCTCTGGAGCCCCAGGCATCTGCCCCCGCACTCTCACATAGCCCAGAGACCTGCCAAGAACTGTGGCTTCCAGTGCAGTGAGTGGACAGATAGTCCGACATGAGCTAGACTGCAGCCACCCTCTGAATCTGGAATAGTTGCAGATGTAGCTGAACTTTACTCTCTGTGCAAGCAGTGTTAGGAGCCAGGACAGAGCAATGAACAGGACTGGGCCTGCCAGGAGACTGACAATAGAATGCAGACACACGTGCAAGCAAGACGGGGGATGGGAACATGAGAGCACTGTGTCTGCTGTTGTGTGGCTCGTGGTGCACCAGTTGACGAGTGACAGAAGTTCAAGTAAAACTGATCTCAGCATCAAGGGAAATGCATGGATTCTAAAACAGCAAAGTCTAGAGGGGGTCCAGAATCCAGGTGTGGTTTGATCAGAGGGTCTCCATCCTTTGGTTTATTCCCAATCTGACCTCCCTCAGTAGGGCAAAATGACTGTAGTGGTTCAAATGCTGACACCACCAGTATAAACCTGCTGCCCAACTATAAAACAAAAGTTGTGAACTTTTGTTCAGTTTGGTCCAATTTAGATCTCCAGTCACTGTGGCAGAGGGGTCAGAGTTACACAAATTGCCTCTTGGTAGAGGTATCTGTTAAGCAAGGGGGAACTGTGGAGTGGATGCTGAGAAAGTATGTCCACACTAGTGTCCATAAAGCCATGGGTCATTGAAGAAGCCATGTAGGTGTCTAGTGGAAGGTACCAAGAGGAAAGTGGGATATGAGTCTGCAACCCAGCTTAGAAGTCAGGACAGGAATTAAAACCTTTGCTGTCACTGGCACACACATGATACCTGTGAGGGCACCTGTGAAGTAGGTACAAGCAGCAGTCTGTGGACTCAGTCCAGGACCCTCCAGCAGCTGCAGGCAGAACAGATGTGGAAGAGAAGCAGCTAGTGAGTGGAAGGAAGAGCTGGGGAGTGGGCCATCCTCTCAGCCGAGTCAAAAGCTGTGGAGCAGAATACAAGATGAGAACGAAGACACGGACCCTGTTTTTTTTGTTTGTTTGTTTGTTTTGCAGAGTGGACAGTGAGAGAGAGAGACAGAGAGAGAAAGGTCTTCCTTTACCATTGGTTCATCCTCCAATGGGCGCTGCAGCGGTGCACCGCGCTGATCTGAAGCCAGGTGCTTCTCCCGGTCTCCCATGGGGTGCAGGGCCCAAGCACTTGGGCCATCCTCCACTGCACTCCCTGGCCACAGCAGAGAGCTGGCCTGGAAGAGGGGCAACCGGGACAGAATCCGGTGCCCCGACTGGGACTAGAACCCGGTGTGCTGGTGCTGCTAGGTGGAGGATTAGCCTATTGAGCCATGACACCGGCCAAGGACCCTGGGTTTTTTAACAGCATGGTGGTCAGTGGTCATCACTTGACAGGTGATATCTCAGAAGAAAGACCACGAGCTGAGCAAGTGGGAAAAGCAGGCGCAGATGACTTTTTCAGGGAGTTCTGCTGTGAACAGGAAAGAGGAAAGATGTGGTACGGAGAGGGGGTATGGAGCCAAGTTAGATTTCATCTATCTTGGCTGGAACAAGTGCCCATGTGGTTCACAGCATGGTCCAAGAGGAGAAACCAGGCCACAGGACAATCATTTTCTTCTCTGTTCTGGGATGAACATGGACTCTGAGCCACCATGGAGTAGGAGCCCCTCTTTGTCCCTGAAGCCCCTTGGTGTGCCTCTGTTGGAAAACACAGCTCACCATGCTTTCCGTCCCTACATCCACCTCTTTGCAACAGTTTAGGCTGGCACAGCAGTAGGCAGGAGTGGAGTGGAGGACTGATCTCCATTCATTGTGCTGCTGGGACAGATGAAAAACCCGGGCCCTGACAAGAGTGAGTGATAAGGTGTTTTGGATGGGCACCGGGGAGTTTGGTGCTGGACAGAAATAGATGAGAAGGGTGAGCAGCACAAGGCTGTGTTGTGTGGATGGGTGAGAGTGAGGGTGACAGGAGGAAGAGCCAGGTCCCAGAAATGTGGGCCGGAAGGAGAGACTGAGAACAGGTGCTGAAGGTGATACTTGGGCTCGGAGAAGCCCTAGAGGCTGGTAGCACACCATCTTATCTATCACCATATTTTTGAAGTACTAGACTTTCTAAGCTGCCTTGTCTGTCTTGTCCATGCCACAAAGAGAAAATACCACATGCCAACCCAGAGATACAACCACACCAGTGACAGAAGCCATGTGGGGCACAAGCAGCTGCCCAGGCCAGCACCAGATCCATGGCTGACTCCAGGAGCCACATGAGAACCCCGAGGACCACCTGTACTGCATTCTGGGGATGGGCACTGGAACCAGCCCTTGAGAGGTCCCCATGGGTTGGGCTGGAGTCACACACATAGCCGGGAGCTATGGTGGAGGTGGGAGTGTGTGTGTGTGTGTGTGTGTGTGTGTGACTGATGACACTGCTGTCTTGCCTGTCTCTCAAACCTACCTATATGTCAGCTGTGAGAAGAAAACAGCTCCTGTGGAGAGCTACAAGGAAGGAGTGGCCCGGGGTAGATCAAGGCAGGGGGTGGAGGGAAGGCCTTTGTAGATGACCAGGAAGTGTGGGGTGTCCTGCTCTGGAGTCCAGAGGACACAGGAGAAGCTTTGTGGGAGGGAGACTGGGCAGAGGAAGGGTCACTGAAGGGGGCTGCTGGGACAATGTCCCGAGGCCATGGTGTGGCAAGGATCATACTCTGGCCTAGGAGTAAGACGGTGCATCTGTGAGAGAACAGCGGTGGAGGATGGGACCACAGCCTCTCTGGAAGGACTTGGGCTTGGCTGGCTTGATGGGCGTGGGAGTGGCAGGTAGAGGAAGGGCTACAGTATTTCAGGATGTGGGAAAGAATCTTGGCCACCCATTGCCTGGTGGGTGCATAGTTTGATGAATAAATGAGAACATCAGGTGATCAAATAATTAGTGACCAGTTCTGAAACCTTGTGGTGGAATGAAAAGGCCATGCTAAGATGGTTGCTGGCAACAGAAACCGCTGGCAACAGGCTGTGATTGTTTAGCTTCGGAAACCATATGAAAATGGAGCCTGCCTGGCTGTGATTGGATGGCTTTGGAAACTGCCTGGCAACAGGCTGTGATTGGTTAGGGCATAGACCGCCCCTTGACCAGATTGGCTGCCTTGGCTATTTAAGCTGCTGTACCAACTGAAATAAAGGAGTCTGCGGGCTGCTCGCCTCTGGCCGGCTTTCACCTGACTCCCAGGGTCTGTGTGGTGACTATGTGCCTCTTGCCCCCACCATGCTCCTCCTCTCAGAACAAATCCACAGCAACAAAACCTTATTTCCAAAAGGCAGCAGGTCCTGAAGGATTGATTGAAGCCTGGAGCTCGGCTGCACGTGGGGGTGAGAGGCACTGACTCGAGGGAGGCCTGGTGATCAGGACTGGTGTGGTTCTGTGGGGAGGATGCTGAGGACCTGGAAGCTCTTCTTCAGCCTGGACTTTATCTTCCTCCCCTGTCTCATCCTATGCTGTTGGTCCTTTCCCCTCACCTCCATCCTCAGAGCTGCCTGCTCCAGACCCTCAGCCAGTTCTGTTCTCTAGAGAAGTGGGCAGTGGACTTGCAGAAAAACAAACTCCGGGATTTTTGAAAAGCCGACTATTATGTATGTCTTATAACTTGCATCTTTTTAGAACACAGAATGTTTTTTCATTCTTTCTGGCTACAAATGTGATCTACTCATGTGTTCATTACAAATTTGTAGGGCTCAGGATAGCAGAAAAAGAACAGAAACCACCCTTCATCATGGCACATCAGTTTATGTCTCTCCTGACTCCATTCCAAATGCATTTTTCTTTTTTGCCCACTGAAACCATACTTTACATTCCAGTTTATATGTTTTGTAATGGAAGTTATGCTCCATGAGATCAGGGATTTATTGTTTTTTTCTCTGCTATCATCTAGCACTTGGTAGTCACTCAATAAATATTTGTTCAGAGAGTAGATTTGATTGATAATTTGTTTTCATGTAAACAGAAAATGTAATTATTTCCTGACATTATGATGTTTTCTCTTATGCTCTTACCTGCTGTCTCCTATGGTTTCCGCTAGAAGTAAGCTGTAATTGGGAGTGAAACTGGGATTCTATTAAGAGACTTGGGCAACTCAAGAAGAGTCTTGACCACTACACCAAATTCCTGCCTCACATATAGTAATTTTATTTAGTATTTGGGCCTTCTAATCAATTGACCTCTCCATTTTTTAAAAAAAAATTATTTATTTTGTTTGGAAGGCAGTATTACGGGGGGTGGGGGGGGAGTAGGGGAGGCGGGGAGGCAGGGGAGACAGAGAGAGACTGGAAGAGACAGACAGAGAGAGAGAGAGAGAGAGAGAGATCTTCCACCACTGGTTCAATCCCCAGATGACTGCAACAGCTGGGACTGGGCTAGTCTGAAGCCAAGAGCCAGGTGTTTCCTCCGGGTCTCCCATGTGAATGCAGGGGGCCCAAGTACTTGGGCCATCTTCCGCTACTTTTCCCGGCACATTAACAGGGAGCTGGATCAGAAGTGCAGCAACTGGGAATTGAAACCATTGCCCATATGGGATGTAGGCACCACAGGCAGCAGTTTTACCCACTGTGCTTCAGCACTGGCCCCAGCCTCTCCGTTTTTGTGCTAGTACCACAGACTTAGTATTTATTTTTTCCTGTACTTATTTATTATGGCATTGTAATATTTAGTATTGTAGCATTTATTATTTTGCTTTCCCAAATGTTTCTTGGCTGCTATTGTACATGTACATTCTCCAAATTAAATTTAAATTCATTTTGTTAAATTTCAAACTGAGATTACATGAAATAGAAATATAACCTTGGTGAGAACTGACATTTTCAGAATGTTTAATATTATAATCCAGGAATATAATTCTTTTCTTCCTTTCATGTTTTGTCCAATTTTATACTGTTCTTCATCTGGGTCCTGTACACTTATGAAGTTTACTGTGTTATTTTCTGTTTTTTGTTCCTTTTTAAATTCCTATTTTTTCTGTTTTGTTTATTTTCATATTTAATGAATATTCAGCCACCTGATAAATAAGTACAAAATTTGTGGTTTTTTGCTTCCTAGGAGTGTGTGCTCTGTGAGTGTCCACCTGCCTGCCTTTCCTCTTTCTCTCCCATCCGCACACAGATGCAAAACTACATTTGAGTGACGCACGGCAGCGTGCCATCCTGAACCCAGAGGATTCCCCCAGTAAGATCATTCTGTGGAAAGATGAATCCATGCGAATGCACAGACTTACCCAAGGCGAGACAGAGGACACAGTCCACCCCACGGGAAGCTTAGAAACAGGTCTCGAGGAAGGAGGCAAACCTAGATGGAGCAGAGAGTATGTGGAGGGAGCTGTGGCTTAATACTGAGCTTAAGGCAGCAGGAAGCTGAGTAGAAGCAGTAGAAGAGCTTGGGCAGGTAAGGGGCCCTGAGCTTCAGGCTCCCATGGGAAGGACCTACTCTTCAGAAGCACGATGATGGCAACAAACACTCCCCAGAGGGAGCAACAGGGGCTGAACACGGGAGTGTTGTCAGGCGGGAGTCCATGGAGCAGAGGCACCGGGAAGGATTTGCAGGGCATTTTACCCCCAGGAAATCATAAACAAGGTAGAAATCAAAGTAAAGACAGTTGTATTTGGGTGCAGCATAGATTTGCCAATGGGAAAACAGACTCAGTGACACCAAACCATCCTTCCCTGGAGGAAAGTGTATTGGGCAGTTATCAATACAGAGGCTGGAAACGGATGCAGTCAGGGCAGCTGTAAATTCTTTGAGGGCCTGGAATCTCCAGGTCAGGAGGCAAAGCAAGTGACTTCTACCAAAGTGGGCAAGGTATAGATAGAATCTGGGAAATTGTTCTCTATGGGGATTCAGCCTCTGATCCAGGATCTGTGGCAGCTGCCCCTCCCCGTCAGTAAAATCAATAAGGCTCAGCAAAGGAGTTTCCCTCTCTTTTTGAGCATTCTCAGCCATTTTGGTATTTATGGTTTCAGTAGAGACCTATCGGCCATTGCTCCTCTTCCTTCAAGTGCCACTGTCTAGCCCTCTCCCACAGAGAAAGCCCTTCTAGATCCTTCCTGTGGGTATATCTTAGGAGCCTATCATCTCTACTCTCAAAAGTTGTGTGCTGACTCTGAATTGTTTCCAAATCCCCAGAACTGCTGTTGCATCTGCTCAAGGATTTCTTTCTCATTCTGGAATTCCGTAGCACCAAACCTTTATCAAGGGCCTCCTGAATCTCTGATGACTGAGTGAGCTTCCAGCCTGTGGGGTAAGTGGAGGAGACGGTGGTGGGTTAGGGGAGGGGAGCCTGTGGCTTTCAGCTGGATCCTCCACAAGTGTTGGTGGTCAAGTCACCTTCCTCCCTCCTTATCCCACCATCTCTGAGCATTCAGCTTGTGAAACTGTGCTCCCCCTGTGGCACAATTGGCCCAGCAAGTCCATCATGGGTGCTTGATGTCCCATGACTGTTTTCTTGTTAGGGAGTTTTCATTGTGCAGATTTCAGATTTGCTTTTTGGAAATTATTCTGAGTGGGGTTGAGGGATAGAAAGTACTGGTGTTGTGGGTGGATTCCTGCTGTGTCACCACTGAAAGCTTGAGGTTGGCCCTGTGCTCCTACCAATGCAGGGGACCTTCTCCTTCCTGCCCTCTGGGGTCTGCCCCAATAAACCACAGTAACTCGGGGTGAGACCAGAGTCCAGCACCTGAGGTTTCTGGGGTTGCGCTTGACATGTTCCCCACTTAGGAACAGAGGGGCTCCTGAAATCAACTTGTATCCTCCCAATGAATTACCTCTTTCTCTTTTCATATAAGAAATCCTCTTTCCTAGTTTCAATTTTATTGAAAAAGATGTTGAATTGTTGTGAATTCCTCTTTACATGATTTTTGGCAGTTTCCCTGTTAAGATGTGTAATAGGAAGAACATAGGCTTAGGAGTTGGGGGGTTTGGGGTTCAAGTGTCAGGCCAGCTGTGAGACTCTGGCAGGTGGTTTTAGCTGTCTAAGCCTCAGCTTTCTCAACTGTAAAATGAAGTCTATTACTTAGTACCCAAGACAGCTAAGGCTGAAAATCTCCTGGTTTGTTTTAAGGTGCAATGTTGTTGGGCCTGAGCTCTCCACCACTCTTTTTCTGTCTTGGTTTCCCACTCCTCATTGCTGTAGAGAGCCCAGCAACGAATTCCTCCCTGCTTCTCACCTCTGCTTCTCTGAGCCTATCTGCTTCATTTTTCCTGTTCTCTATAGATACGTATTCTCTGTAGAAAAAGACTAAAGTCCTAGTTCCAAATTCCCAGGATGGGACTCTCTCTCTCTCTCTCTCTCTCTCTCTCTCTCTCTCTCTCTCTCTCTTTTGACAGGCAGAGTTAGATAGTGAGAGAGAGAGACAGAGAGAAAGGTCTTCCTTCCGTTGGTTCACCCCCCAAATGGCTGCTACGCTGCGGCCAATCTGAAGCCAGGAGCCAGTTGCTTCCTCCTGGTCTCTGATGCAGGTGCAGGGCCCAAGCACTTGGGCCATCCTCCACTGCCTTCCTGGGCCACAGCAGAGAGCTGGACTGGAAAAGGAGCAACCAGGACAGAATCCAGCACCCCAACCAGGACTAGAACCTGGGGTGCCGGCGCCGCAGGCGAAGGATTAGCCTAGTGAGCTGTGGCCCCGGCTGGGACGATCTCTTTTACCAGTTGTCAGTGACCAGAGGACAGGGTCACACTGTGTGAATGTGGCAGCTGATACTGGAGTGAAGGACATTGTGAGAGAAGACATGTGTGTCCTAAAGAAGCTGCTGCAGAGATTATTCTAGCAGCCTCATGCAATTGCCCCTGAATGATATTCAGTAAATCTTTAGGTAATCCCCCGTGTTCCAAATTAGCACCTTGGTGCCCTGGAGAGAGATTCTGTTTTATTAATGTACATTCAGTTTATCTGTTTTTTTTTTTTTTAATTTATTTACTTGAAAGTCAGAGGTACACAGAGAGAGAAGGAGAGGCAGAGAGAGAGAGGTTTTCCATCCGCTGGTTCACTCCCCAGGTGGCTGCAATGGCCGGAGCTGTGCTGATGCAAAACCAGTAGGCAAGAGCTTCTTCCAGATCTCCCATGTGGGTGCAGGGACCCAAGGACTTGGGCCACCCTCTGCTGCTTTCCCAGGCCATAGCAGAGAGCTGGATCGGAAGTGGAGCAGCCGGGACTCAAACTGGCGCCCATATGGGATGCTGGCACCGCGGGCGGTGGCTTTACCTGCTATGCCACAGCACCGGCCCCAGTTTATCTGTTTAGCCCATCTGTTAAAATTTCATTTAGGATTTTTGTGCCTTTATTATAGTCAGCATTGGCCTATCTTTAATTGTTTGAAATTTGATGTCACATCAAGTTTTAGAGTTGTGATTTACCTCATAAATCAAGTTGAATGACAAATCATGCCTCTCTATAATGTTATGATTTGTACGGGATTTGGTTCCCCAAACTCTTGTAAGTGTTTCAGCCCCAAAGACTTAAATTATCACTGAGTGGATTCATTTTAACAGTTGATGAGTTTAGGGTGGAGACTAGGTCTAATTATGGCATCTAGCAGGTAGGAATAATGGGAGGTCTTCAGATTATTGGGGCTTGCCCTCCCAAGGTGGCTCTTGTGTGAGGTTTGCTTACATAAGCAGAGTGAGCTTCCTGTCTCTCTTTGCTTCCTGGTGACCACGTGAATGCTCCTCTACTGTCCTCCAGCCTTAGCAGATGCCTAAGCCAGTGGAACCTCTCTGTTTTAGACTGTGAACCTCAACTGTAAGCTAAGGTAAACCTTCTTTCCTAAGTAGTTACTCTCAGGTACTTTAATTGAAGTAATGAAAAGTTGACTAATACATATACTCTTAAATAATTTATGTAAGGATTACTTATCTTTTCAGAACTTAAAAAATCTCTTTAGGGTGTAGTGGATAGTGCACTATGTAAATCTTTAAAAAATAAGAATCCCCAAGTTTGCATTTGATCTTAGTCTTCTTTTTTAAAATATTTATTTATTTGAAAGTCAGAGTTACACAGAGAGAGGTAGAGACAGAGAGAGAGGTCTTCCATCTGCTGGTTCACTCTCCAGATGGCTGTAACGGCAGGAGCTGTGCCCATCCAAAGCCAGGAGCCAGGAGCTTCTTCTGGGTCTGCCACGTGGGCACAGGGGCCCAAGTGCTTGGTCCATCTTCTGCTGCTTCCCCAGGCCATAGCAGAGAGCTGGATCGGAAGTGGAACAGCTGAGTCTTGAACTGGTGCCCATATGGGATGCCGGTGCTTCAGGCCAGGGCGTTAACCTGCTGTGCCACTCGCCGGCTCATGGTCTTAGTCTTAATTTTGTGTGTAGCCTTGGTCAAGTTCTTGAACCTCCCTGGGCCTCTGTAGAATTGGGGAGGGCAAGATGGCAGGTGCAGGTGGTTTACTAGCACTCACCTTGCTGGCCTTTCTGAATAGTGTGCTGTGGTCCTTGGGCATTTCTCTCAGCAACCCCCTCTGCATCTACCTTTCTGCTGCCCTCTAGTGGATTCCCTAGTGGGTGGGTTCCCTTCCCTATGAAGGGCTGTGTTGTGTTCCTGCTCCTCTCCTGCTCCCATGGGTCTGAGTACCTGTGGGCAGGGCCCTCTCTGGGGAATTCTCTTCTCCTCTCACTTCCCTGGCACCAGACCTCTCCCTGAGCCCCTCCTTTCATCACCTGTAAAAGGATCTGCCTCTGCCTCCCTCATTCCCTCCCTGTTTCCCCCTGCCCCCTAACCCCTTATAACACCTTCCTGGTCAGTGAGCCACCCTGAAGGTCTTTACGGCCTCCTGCAGCCTCGTTCTCTCTTCCTGGCCCCAGCTCACTGTGGTCCTCTAATGGTGCTAAAGAACATGAGGGTTGGAGCAGATGCCAAGAGACCACAGGGTCAGGAGGTGGCAGGTCCCTGTAGCCCTGTCCCTCTCCTCAAATCCTGCCTGCTCTCTTGGATGATATTTCCATGATCTGCTTCTCCTCTCCAGTACCCCAGCTCTTTTGTAAACAATAGAAAGCTCTGGAAATGGCCTCCACTTATAATAGATTTCTCCTTGTTCCAAAATGTCTATTCACGGTTGAAAATTCAGAAAAATACAGATAAATTCAGAGAAGAAAACAACTCAGCATTCCACTACTCACAACCACCATTTGCTTTTCTCCCATTTTTTTCCACTGTGAGTGTAAACATACTTTTAAAGCTGATGGGAATCCTGCTGCATACACTGCTTTTTGCCCTGCAGTTTTCAGTTGGCCACAGGCCGTGAGCATCTCCATATCACCGTGCACTTTTCTGCATCATCATCTTTACAGGCAGCTAAGCATGCACAATCCTATGGGTGGACAGAAATGCATTCAGCCTTGTGCCTGCTGGGCATTCGGGCAGTTTCCACCTGGACACTGCTGTGAACGACTTTGCAATGACGATCCCTTTGAACAACTAATTCTTGATTTCCACCGTGTTGTGTTCATTCCAAAGCAAACCCACCAGTTGTCAGAGGGAGAGGACTTTCTGATGTTTGTTTCACCACCTTGCCAATCTTCCCTCCAAAAGGTATTTGCAGGATGTTAGACCTCAGGTCCCCATACTTGATCATCATTTCTGCCCTGTTTTTATTATTGGAAATCACTTGGCCTGGGGGCGGGGGCTGAGCTGCGTGGGTGGCCTGCAGTCTCAGTGGATGGATATACTGTGTATGGCGGTGGTGGTGGGTTCCAGATGCAGGAGGTGGGGCTTCATTCAGCGGGCACACACACACACCCCACCCAGACATAGCTTGTGGAGATGACGCTGACATCAGGCAGCAGTTTCACACTCCACCTAGGGTGGCAGCATTTCTTCTTAGAACTGCCTGCTCGTACTTTCTGGGTTTTATTTATTTATTTATTTATTTATTTACTTTTTTCTTAGTGATGTGGATTACATGTTGATCTCTTTGTCTATTGACTATGGCATGGATGGGCAGGTTATCTATTTAGCTTTCAGATTTTTAAATGGCAGTTTTTAACATGCAGACATTGTTAATTTGCATGTAGTCTGACTTTCAAATCTGCCTGGCTTTTTCTTTCTTCCTTGTTGTATAAAAGGGCCTTCCTTGTCCCCAGAGGTTATGAACATTCATTTATATTTTCTTTGAGTTTGTTTCACTTTAAAGTCTTTTTTTTTTTTTTTCCTTTTTGACAGGCAGAGTGGACAGTGAGAGAGAGAGAGACAGAGAGAAAGGTCTTCATTTGCCGTTGGTTCACCCTCCAATGGCCGATGCGGCCGGCGCG